ACTCCAAAGATTTTGTTGTTTAAATAAATAAGACTGTTTTGTTCTAAGGGTGCATTCCGATATTCACTGCCAGTACTGATAGTGCTGCGAGTACGTTCCAAAATACCCTGCAGTAAGCTTTCGATGAGCTTGTGAAAGCATATGACGTCATAGATTTTGTCGTCACTTCCTGCTTTCGTTACTGCGGCTGGCGAGGTAAGGCATTCGCAGTAGAAAGATGGCGGCGCCCGTAGAAGATATGGAAGAGGTTGTTTTGGTAGACGCGGAAACTAACGAAAATTTTAAAATGTTATTAAGCAAAGAGGATGTAATCAGAGTACGAAGCGGTAAGAAACTAAATAATATTTTTATAAGTATATAATATTATTATTATGCAAAGCGGATAATAAATTCAACAGGAAATTGAATATAACCTATAATTAACCGCAAACATTACTTGATAATTTGTATGTTTTTTTTCTTACTAGAATAGCCTAAATGTTAAGAATTACTTGTATTTCATTTTTAGATTTAACTTTTGCTACGCAGTTGTTGCAAAGTGCAAAGGACTCCGCCCAACAAGTAGATTGTACTTCGCCCCAACGTATGAATGATCTTAATTGTGTTATAGACCGCTGTTACACGGCGCCGTTAATCGGGTTTAATAACATCGGTAGTTCTTAGACTGGCTAATTACACTCATTCTTTAGAAGAAGGGAATAACTGTGATTTGCCAGCCTAACAACTACCGATGTTATTAAACCCGATTAAGAGTGGCGTGTAACAGCGGTCATAATTAGATAAGTAATATCAAATTTTATGTGACATAATGTTAATAATTTTAGCAACTACCAGTAACAGTAATAAAAAACCTGACAACCTCGATACAACTGTACAATGTGCAGAAGGTAATAGATTGACATAGAAATTTACATAATATTTAAATATTTGCATATGTATATCCCTCCGAGAACACATAGGGTCAAGAAATATCTAATCCTTGTTTAATCACATTGCAGGTGCACATGCATGGACCAAACAGGAAACATTATTATTATTAGAATTATATCGCGAACATCAAACTGATTTCATTAGTGGAAAAGGTACCGTCAAAAAACATTGGAACAATATTGCAAAACTTATGCAAGAGAAAGGACATGATGTAAATGGTTTTAAATGTTCAACAAAATTTCAATCTTTGAAACGTACATACAAATGCATTACGGATCATAACAAGAAAAGTGGCAATAATAGGAAGGATTGGGAATATTTACAGGTTAAATTATTAAAATTTATTTGTTGGTTAAATTATATGTGCTTGTGCTTAATATAATAATATATGTTTAAAATAAGTTCAACATTTTGGTATTTACATACAGATAATGCAAGAGATATTTGGTGATAAACCCTGGGTAAAACCTTTGGCAGTAGCAGGATCTCACTTAGATGAAACAGAAAGTGAAAGCGATGCAAAAGATGAAAAAGAAAATCTTCCAGAAAAAGGTAACATAATATATGTCTAATAATATATGTCTTATGGTAGATATAAAATAATTGTATATGTGCATAATTATACATATTGTATATTTATAATTTCAGTCACCAAGAAGGGAAAAATCACTGCATTAATAAATGATTACATATCATTTAGCAAAGAAGAACGCGCTAACCGAAGAGAAATTCGTACAAAACAGCATGAAGAGAAACTGCTCGCCCTTAAAAGGTTGGAAAATTTGTTAGAGAAACTGGTAGAAAAAGAAAATAAGTAAGGAAATTAGAGGTTATAAGATATAAATAATATATATTTTGAAATGACTGATATATATATCTTATTAAATGTTAATCAATATATACTTTACTTATATATTACTGCAGTTTATAAAAGATATGTGATATGATGTAATACGATACTGTGATATTAAGCAACATGTATGTGCAAATTGTATTAGTTCCTTTAGTTTCTTTTTTTGTTTAGTATCGTTTTTTTTTACTTTAATTTAAGGTCACATGTCTTTATTACATTTGTTTTGCACCTCTATAAATTATATTAATAATATTACAAACTTAAAATAATAATAATAATGATATTCATATTATAGTAATTAAGTATATAGAAGTATAGTAATTAAATGTTTTCTTGTTTTAAGAAAATATTTAAATTCAATGTATGTTGAGTTTTAAAGATTTGCAAGATTTATTGAAAACAACCCATTTGTTCAAATGCAATATACCAAACTTTATTTTAATTTTTGTGATACACATGTATATATAACATAAACATACTTATAAAACATCTCACGATAAGAAGTACATAATTGCATTTCTTTTATCTATACCTTCCCTTTGTGTGTCTTGTAACGGTTCTGCTTGTACACAATTCTGTTCATTAACAATTACAGGAATGTCTATCATATCGTTTTGTAACAAACATATGTTATGCAGAATGCAACATGCAATTATATATTTAGGTATTAAATCAGTTCTATACAGTGGAAGTGTATCCAAAATGCTTCGAAAACGACCTTTTAAAAGACCTATTGAACGTTCAACCATCATTCGAGCAGACGAGTGACGTGTGTTGAAAAGTATCTGACGTTCAGATAGATGACTGTTATCTTTAAATGGTACCATGATGTATTTTGTGAGACGATAGGCTGCATCACCCAATATGTGGCTGTCGTGCGGAAAATTATCATCTGTACACATCTTTTCGAAATCTGACAAACGGAAAACACGCATGTCGTGTACAGAACCTACTTGTCCTGTATAGCAATGTATGAATTGTAGCCGTTCATTACAAACAACCTGTTGAGAAATATATGCATATATATTATATGTGTCTATATTTTTAAAGCACACAGCAAGTAAAAACTATATTAATGTTATAATATACTATAAATAATATCACCAATCCTCCCCTACCTGTAATTGAATAGAGTGAAACCCTTTTCTATTTATATAGGAATCACTGTTATCTCTTGGGCCAATAATTTTTATGTGAGTTCCATCTATTGCACCAATAACACCAGGAAAACCATAAGTTCGTTTGATTGTTTCTATACTTTGTTCAGCTTCTTCTAAAGTTGGCCAGTGAATAAATGTTGCTACTTTTTTATATAAAGCCTTTACTACTCTTTGGACACTTCGCTATGCTGTAGCTGTTCCGACATCAAATCTGTCAGAAACACATCTTTAAAAAAAAATTTACTTATTAAATATTTCTAACATAAGTTTATTAAGTTATATATACTTCGATATTTCAAGTTTTACCTATAGGAATTTGGTGTACTCATGAACCAGATAGCTAGAAGTAATTGTTTTTCAGGGGTTATTGGATGCCTTCCAGATTTGTCGTTTTGTTTGCATAATTCTGGTCGTAATAATTCCAATATAAAGTTGAAAGTACTTTGTTTCATACTATAAAATAAAAAATAATTAGTGTAATAGTTTTTCTTTATGTTGAACATAACCTTAATGTTAAACATGTATTTAACCTATTTATAGTTTTTAAATATGTTTTCCATTTTATATATTTATGTGTATTCTATGTATATTAAGTATAAAATTTATGTACAGTTTACTTACCGAAAATGTTTCTTGAATTCATCATCTGTAAAAGAATGAACCACGTCCATATAATTTTTGCAGCGTGGTATTGAACGCGATGGTGTTACACGTATCTTATTAAGACAAAATAATACACATTCGTCTTCCTCATCTGTAGAATCATCCGATTCAGATGAATCAATTAATTCAATGACTTTAATTAAAAATGTAGGTATTAACGCCATTATTATGTTCTGGCACTTCTGGCAGTACTGCGATGTCG